GGTTATCCTCCAGATTTCTTGGCACAACTTGGTGAGCACATCCAGGGCAGCATATGTTTGTTGAAATATATCAACTGGTATGTCGTCAATTCCTGGATCCTTATTTTTTGCCAATTCCTTCAGAGAAGTATGAACTTCCTCCTTCATCACCACAGGATCTTGTTTGTACGTTGTTTCATTAAATTATTTTGTGTCCGCCAACTCCTTTTAGTACAATGGCTGTATATTCCTTTCGCCTTCTTTTAATGCTTTGGATCATTTAATATTCTGCCTAAAACATCTTTCAGTACTGAAATTCGAGGCTTGAATTTGCTCTCCAGTTCTTTCAGCTTTGGAAATGCTGAGCGAGTTTGGCCCTTTTGATTTTCTGACTCCAGCTCTTTATACATTTCATTATAATACTTTACTTTGTCTTCCTGTGCTGCCTTTTGAAATCCTCTGTTCAACTCCTTAATTTCTTTATTTCTTCCCTTTACTTTGGCTTCTCAGCGTTCTAGTGCAATAGTCAGAATCTCTTCTGACATCCATTTTGGTCTTTTCTTCCTCCTCTGTCTTTGTAATCACCCTTTACATTCTTCATGGATGATATACTTAATATCCTCCCACAGCTCATCTGGTCTTCGCTCATTCAAGGCCTCAAACCTGTTCCTGAGATGGTTTTGAAATTCAAGTGGGATAGACTCAAGATCAAATTGTGGTTCCTGTGGATTTGATTTCATTTTCTTTAGCTTCAGCTTGAACTTGCATATGAATAAACTGGGTTTAGAAGAAGCCAAGATACTGGGGATATTATAGTTAATGTTAGATGGATCTTGGCTGAAAGCAGAGAGTAATAGCGGAATATCTATCTGCGTTTCATTGACTACGTAAAGGTATATGACTGTGTGGATCACAACAAACTGTGGCCAACACTGAGAAAAATGGAAATCCCAGAACATTTGATTGTTCTTATGCAAAAACTATATTTGGACCAGGAGGCAGTCGTCAGAACAGAGCAAGGTAACACTGTATGGGTCAAAATCAGATATGGTGTACACCAGGGATATGTTCTATCTCCATACCTTTTCAATCTATATGCAGAACAGATCATCCGGGAGGCTGGGCTGTATGAGGAAAAAATGTGACATCAGGATTGGAGGTAAACCCATCAACAATCTGTGTTATGCAAATGAAACAACCCTGCTTACTTAAACTGAGGACGACCTGAAACACTTGCTTAAACACTTGCAGAAGGTCAAGGACTGCAGCCTTCAATACAGATTGAAGCTCAACATCAAGAAAACAAATCTTCTCACTACTGGGCTGATTGGCAGCTTCATGAGACAATGAAGAGATTAAGATTGTTAACAGTTTCAGTTTGATTGGCTCCACAATCAACACTGTTGGCACCAGCAGCCAGGAAAAGGCAAACTGAATTGGAAAAGTCTGCTGTTAGGGAATCTTTCCAGAGTACTGAAGAGCAATGATGCCAGATTGGAGACTAAGATGTGCCTAATCCAGGCCATGGTCTTCGCAATTACTTGCTATGCATCGGAGGGCTGGACAATGACTAGAGATGATAGGAGAATTGATGCTTTTGAGCTAAGTGCTGGAGAAGAGTAATATACCATGGACTGCCAGGAGAACAAACAGGTTGTTCCTAGAGAAGGTGAAACCAAGCTGCTCCTTGGAGTCACGGATTTGGAGTCTCACATACTTCGAGCATGTTTCAAGGAGGGATCAGACATCATGCTTGGGAGGGTGAAGGGGCAGCATAAGAGAGGAAGATCCTCGATGAGATGGATTGATTCAGTGATTGGGACAATGGGAGTAGGTGTTTCAGAAACAATAAGTTTGGCTCAGAATAGAGCTGGGTGTTGTATGTAGAGTTGCTATGTGTTGCATGCGACTCGACAGCACATAACAACAGCAACAACAACAATATACACTGAAAGAACCTACCTGGAAGCCTTTCCAGTAACTATTTAGATGAGGTGGAGATGTACCAAAGGCAAACACAGAATTACTTTTAAATTTATAGTGTACAATATGAGTAAGGTATTTGCCAGCATTTCTCTAACATAGATAGCTTCAAAATCCATCATACCCTACTCAGTAATAAAATTTAGACTAGTATCCAACAATTCCTTTTGCTGTGTCTCCAAAATGCAATCAGGGTGCACTCCTTAGAAGCAAGGATTGTGAAACTTCATCTTACATTCTCCAGGCATGTTGTTAAGAGGGGCCAATCCTTGGAAAAAGACATCATGCTTGGAAAGGTAGAAGGTCAGTGAAAGAGAGGGCAATTCTCAATAAGATGCCTGAATAATGGGCTCAAGTATATCAGAGAAGATGAAGAGAGGATTCATATCTGGTGTTTATAGGATCACTAGGAGTCACAGCCTTCTCAATGGCACCTAACCACACTGACAATATAGTTGGTACCTGTGACCCCTATCAAAGAAAACAGATCAAGAATTGTATCTAAACCCTTTCTCTCTAGAGAACAGAGACTTTTTTCCCTTCTATAAATATCTGTCAATTTAGAAAATCATAAATTTGGACTTCAGTTATGCTTTGAAAATTACGGTTATCAGGTTCCACTTCTAGTATGGCAGAATAACAGACTGACTTTGTCAAGATGGTAACTATGAGCTCTAAGCAGTACAAAAAATAACTACCTTAAGGTTCTAAACCATGAACCAAAAGGAGACAGATTTGTGAGATGAGTAGAAACTTGGGGAAAAGGTTAATATTGCGTTGCGTTTCCCACTTTTGTGGTTTACCTTTAAACTACATTTCAAGTGTAACAAAAGCAAACAGTTAAATATCCAACAGAGTATAACCCATATTTCTAGCTAAGGAACAAAATATACAAAGACATGGAGCAGCTGTGGGGAATCTCAGTAAGAGAAAATGAGAAACAGAGTGGAACCCAATTTTTTTTTTTTTTGCTTGCTGCCCTATTACTTTATTGTGTATGTACCAATTTTTTTTAATTAATTTGTTTGTTTGGTTTGGTTTTTTTTATTATTCATTTTAATGAAAGTTTACAGAGACTTTGGATTCCCATTCATTCATTGTTGCACTTTTCTCTCTGCCCACCCCTCCCCTCAGTTTGCTCTTTTCTTTGAAAAGTAAAAGAAAAATTCTTTCATTGTTATACAATCCCTCCAAGTCCTCTCCACTATGCAGCCTTCGTTCTGGACTCCTGTCATGACAGAAATATACCCCTTTTAAACAGTTCTCTCCCTCATCTGTTTCAATGCAGTATATATCATTTATCCCCTCTTTCTCGCTCTCCCCCAAACCCCAATGTTGGTCCCGTTTTACAACAGTGGCACTATGCAGTATTTGCCCTTTTGTAACTGAGCTATTTCACTCAGGGAACTCATTTTTGTGAATAACTATCCACCTCTAAGGCTGACCTCGAGATACACATGTGTGAAGTCAACTTCAGTATGAGTTACGTCTATAATTAGTATTTGAGCCACAAAAGAGTGCTTACATTTTGAAACCTTCTTAATGTAATTGTCTTCTAAAGCAAAACCAGTAACACTCTTCAGAGGAATTCAAAAGATTTCACAATTTACACAATGCCCAAGATATAATCCAGAATTACTCAATACATTAAGAAACAGTAAAATTGCATTCTTAGAGGGGAAAATGAAAGAGACTAACCTCAAGATAAACCAGATATTGGAATCATGAAGTAATAATTTTAAACTACTATTATTACACTCTGCTTAATAAGATTTTAAAATGGTTTATGACACATAAAAAAAAAAAGAAATCTCAGCAGTGGATTCAAATGATTTAAAAAGAACCAAGTGAAAAGTCTACAACTGAAAGATTAAAATATCTAAAAACATTTACTGAGTGGGCTTAATAGCTGAATGAAGATGACAGGGAAAAGTAAACATACTTGAAAACACATCAGTAAAAACTGCACAACTACAAAGACTTTTTAAATGGAGAAAAAAAGAAAACACTCATGGATCTGTGGGGCAATACTGAAAGGTCTGAAAATCAAGAGTTTCAAGTAATTCTTACATGATACATAAAATATTTACTAACTTTATAGAAGAACACAACAAATTCATAACTAAAAAAACTAAATTACATTCATCATGGAAATAGCAATGGTCTAGGACCCGAGAGTGAGAATCTAAGTTCTAGTCTTAGCTTTTTCCTAGAAAACGGTTTTATCTTAAGAATATCAGTTTAACTCTTTGACCATAAAAGGAGGACTTTGGTTAGACTACTAGTTTTAAAATTTAGTTAATTCTCAGAATCACGTAAGGAATTTCTTCATCAATGAGTGTTTCACTTTAAAAATTCATGATCAGAAAGCCTTGTCTGAGATATGACTTAATTATTTTGTTTCAAGTTCTTTAGGTGGTGTCTGAGGGTTATTCAAGTTTGTAATCCACTACACACTGAATTATATATTTGGGACACAGGTAAAGCAAGTAACAGAGATTTCTTCTAGTGGTAGTATTTTTTTTTTTTTAGAAAAAGGTCCTTAGGTCCTATGGTGGCCTAGTGGTAAAGAAGCTGCATTGCAATCCAAAGGCTCACGGTTCAAATCCACCAGATGCTCTACTGAAGTAGGAGCAATCTCCTCCTGTGCCAGTGAAATCTGATTCGACAATACACAACAAGGAAAAAATAAGTAAATAAATATACTGGGGGGGGGGGGAAGAAAATGGTCCTCTGTTAAAGACCGAGATACATGATATCTGTAAAAAATCTTAATAAAACTCCTTTAGACAAGGGCCATATTTTTACTACAAATGAGTAAAAAGGAATGTTAGATTTAAAACATTTCTAACATTTCATATGTAAATTTGTGTTTTCTTGTATGTGTCATATTGGATGAGTTAGAATCAACTGAATGAATGGCACACAGCAGCAACGTGACATGTTTATCTTCTCACAGGACACACATTTCTCTTTTCTGCTTTTCCTATATGTTCTACACACTGGTTACTTTTCAAATACACTCCTTACACATCTACCTGAGAGAGGGATCATCCTCCTACGATCAGGTTCCCAAGGAGGTGACAGAGAACCAGTATCAGAAAGTGCTCTATGAGGATCATGGCGTGATTCTCCTTTTTCAGTATTATCCTGTTGGTTCACAATATTCCCTGGTCCTCTTGAACCTAGACAAAGAAAAAGAATATAATTCTGTTATATCTAGAAAATTAATTATTTTGAGATTAGACAAATAAAACCAGACATATCCAAAGACTGAAAACAAAGTGGTCCCTTAATCATGGATTATGCCTCTACCCTACCAAAACCATTTCTAGAACAACCAAGGGGAAAAAATTCTATGAAGTACATTAATGAACAATTGTTGTTGTTGTTATGTGCCGTCGAGTCGCCTGCGACTCATAGCGACCCTATGTACAACAGCCCTAAACTCCGCTCTGTCCTGTGCCAATCGCACTGTCTCTGACACTCCCATCCCAATTATACCAGTCACTGAATCAATCCACCTCCTCCTGTGCTGTCCCTCCACCCTCCCAAGCATGATGTCCCTCTCTAAGGACTGGTCTCTCCTCACTACATGTCCAAAGTAAGTTAGATGGAGCCTCAGAATCCTTGCCTCCAAGGAGCCACCCGGTTTAACCCTCTCCAGGACAAATCTATTTGTTTTCCTAGTAGTCCATGGTATTCTCAATACTCTTCTCCAGCACCACAGCTCAAAGGCATCAATTCTTCTATCCTCCTTGGTCATTGTCCAACTCTCTGATGCATAACAGGTGATTGCGAAGACCATGGCCTGTATCAGACGCACCTTAGTCTCCAGAGAGACACCATTGCTCTTCAGTACTTTGGAGAGGTCCCTAACAGCCGACTTTCCCGTGGCAATGCGCCTTTTAATTTCCTGGCTGCTGGTGCCAAGACTGTTGACTATGGAGCCAAGCAAACTAAAGCTGTGTACAATCTCAATCTCTTCACCATCCATCCTGATGCTGCCAGTTGGTCCAGTGGTGAAAATCTTTGTCTTCTTGACACTGAGCCTCAATCCATATTGTAGGCTGCAGTCCTTGACACTCTGCACCAGGTGCTTCAGGTCCTCCTCAGTTTCAGCAAGCACAGTTGTGTCATCCGCATAACGCAGATTGTTGATAATTCGTCCACCAATCTTGACCCCACATTTCTCCTCATAGAGCCCAGCCTCACGGATAATCTGTTCTGCACAATAACCTAAATATTTCACTTTTAAATGTTATCTCAATCATTGATTACCTGCCTAAAAAAATAAAGTAAAACAGACCAAAAAAATCAACTAAGTTTAAAGATAGAAGTCAATTAAACGGTAAACCATAAATACTGTCTGAAAAATTAAAAAAGTAAATTGCAGTGTAAAGATTTCTCTACCAGATGTGCCTCATTTTATAATTACTTGATGTTACACTAATATTCCAATAACCTATATCTAAATAAGAGTAATTCCTTTAAAAAACACATGCTAGACGCTTTACACCTATTTTGGTAATTCTACTATATTTTTCATAGCTTTGGAAAATATCCTCAGATTAGCAAAAACATTACACAGTAAACTGAGTCTCATAACTCTAGACTTCTGTCCAAAATAGTTTTAACTAATATGATCAGAAACTGTGTAATGACTAGCTTAATCTGACTCTACTTGTAATCAATTTGTAAGTCTCAAATTCACCTCAGAAAGAGAATTCATAGTTCTGAAGACAAGTTTAAAGCAAGAGTTGCAAACACACGAATTGAAACTACTTGAACAAACACTTAAAAATAATTTCATGTGGCATCCTTTCATTATAAAATGAGTGAATCATTTGAAAGTTCCCATCTTATGCCCACAAAAAGGATATTAACTTGATTTAAAACTCATATTAAATTAAAAAGAAAAAATACAAAAATTTTAACCATTCAATTAAAAATATAAACTAGTAACTACATTTATCTGTCATTGAAGGGGGAATGAGGTCTTCTCAAAATCACATTGTCCAGAAAATACAAGTTTAATCCTTTCAAGGAATGTTGTTATGTGCTGTCGAGTCGCTTGCGACTCATAGCGACCCTATGTACAACAATCCTAAACACTGTTGTGTCCTGTGCCAATCTCACTGCCTCTGACACACCAATCCCGATTACCCCAGTCACTGAATCAATGCACCTCAGAGAGGGCCTTCCATTCCTGTGCCTTCCCTCCACCCTCCCAAGCATGATGTCACTCTTCAAGGACCTGTCACTCCTTACATGTCCAAAGCATGTCAAAGCCTCAGAATCCTTGCCTCCAAGGAGCAGCCTGGTTTAATCCTCTCTAGGATGAATCTGTTTGTTTTCCTAACAGTCCATGGTACCCTCAATACTCTTCTCCAGCACCACATCCCAAAGACATCAATTCTCCTATCCTCCCTAGTCATTGTCTAACTTTGACACATAACAAGTGATTGCAAAGACCATGGCCCGTATCAGATGCACCTTAGTCTCCAGAGAGACACCACTGCTCTTCAGTACTTTGGAGAGGTCCCTAACAGACTTTCCCATTGCAATACGTCTTTTAATTTCCTTGCTGCTGTTGCCAAGACTGTTGACTGTGGAGCAAAGCAAACCGACATTCTCAATCTCTTCACCATCCATCCTGATGCTGCCAATTGGTCCAGTGGTGAGAATCTTTGTCTTCTTGACATTGAGTATTAATCCATATTGAAGGCTGCAGTCCCTGACCCTATGCAGCAAGCGCTTCAGGTCCTCCTCAGTTTCAACAAGCAGAGTTGAGTCACCTGCATAACGCAGACTGTTGACAGATCTTCCACCAATCCTGATGCCACAATTATCCTCATAGAGCCCAGCCTCCCGGATAATCTGCTCTGCATATAGGTTGAAAAGGTATGGAGATAGGACGCATCCCTGGCGTACGCCCTTCTCAATTTTGAACCATGCAGTGTTCCCTTGCTCTGTTCTGATGACTGCCTCTTGGTCCAAGTATAGGTTTCTCATTAGCATGATCAAGTGTTCCGGGACTGCCATTCTTCTCAGAGTCAGCCACAGTTTGTTATGATCTACAGTCAAACGCCTTTGCAGAGTCAATGAAACACAGATAGACATTCTTCTGGTATTCCCTGCTTTCAGCTAAGATCCACCTAACATCAGCTACAATATCCCTAGTACCACGACCCATTCTAAACCCAGCCTGGACTTCTGGAAGTTCTCTGCTGATGTGCTGTTCCAGTTGTTTTTGAATAATCTTCAGTAGAATCTTGCTTGCATGTGAAATCAATGATATTGTTCTATAGTTTCCACACACTGTTGGGCCACCCTTCTTTGGAATGGGAATAAATATAGATCTCTTCCAGTTGGCCAAGTGGTTATTCTCCAGATTTCTTGACACAACTTGGTGAGCACGTCCAGGGGAGCATCCGTTAGCTGAAATATGTCAATTGGTATACCATCTATTCCTGGGGATTTACTTTTTGCTATTTCCTTCAAAGCAGCTTGAACTTCTTCCTTCCTCCCATAGGCTCATATGTTGTTTCATTAAATTCTTCTGTGTCTGCCAATTCCTTTTGATACAGTGACTCAGTATATTCCTTCCATCTTCTTTTAATAATTCCTGGATCATTTAATATTCTGCCTAAAGCATCCTTGATTATAGCAACTCGAGGATTGAATTTGTTCTTCAGTTCCTTGAGCTTAAGAAATGCTGAGTTTGGCCCTTTTGATTTTTACTCCAGCTCCTTGCACATTTCATTGTTAATATTTTACTTTGTCATCCTGCACTGCCTTTTGAAATCTTCTGTTCAGCTCTTTTGTATCTTGAATTCTTCCATCTGCTTTGGCTTTTCTGTGCTCCAGTGCAATATTCAGAGTTTCTTCTGACATCCATTTTGGTCTTTTCTTCCTCCTCTATCTTTGTAATGACCATCTGCACTCTTCCTGGATGATACCCTTGATATCCTCCCACAACTCATTTGGTCTTCGCTCAGTGTAGCTGATTCTGAGAAGAACGGGAATCCCATCACACTTCGTCATGCTAACGCAAAACCTATACTTGGACCAACAGGTAACTCATCGGGTCTTCGCTCATTAGTGTTCAAGGCCTCAAACCTGTTCTTGAGATGGTTCTGAAATTCAGGTGGTATAGACTCAAAGTCATATTTTGGTTCCTGTGGATTCAGTTTAATTTTCCCCAGCTTCAGTTTGAACTTGCATTTGAGTAGTTGGTGGTCTGTTCCTCAGTCAGCTCCTGGCCTAGTTTTCACAGCTGATATTGAGCTTCTCCAGCAGTTCCTTCCGCAGATGTACTCAACCTGATTCCTATGCATACCATCAGATGAAATACATGTATATAACCTGCATTTATGTCTCTTAAAAATGTATTTGCAATGAATAAGTCATTGATTATACAAAATTCAATCATTCTATCTCCAGCTCCATTTCTGTCACCGAGCCCATGTTTTCCAGCTACTGATTCTTTTTCTCTGTTCCCAACTTTTGCATCCCAGTCACCCATTATTATCAATGCATTTTGATTGCATGTTCGATCGATCACCAACTGTAAAAGCTGGTAGAAATCTTCTATTTCCTCTTCTTTGGCTCTGGTTGTTGGCACATATATTTGAATGATAGTGGTATTTACTGGACTTCCTTCTAGGCATATGGATATTACCCTGTCATTCACAATACTGTACTTCAAGATGGATCTAGAAATTACTTTTTTAACTATGGAAGCAACCCCATTTTTCCTCACCTTTTCATCTCCGGTGTAATATATCATATGATCATCCGACACAAAATGCCCCATGCCGATCCATCTCATCTCACCAATGACTAGTATGTCAATATTTATATGTTCCATTTCTTCCTTAACAAATATCTAATATTCCTACATTCATGGCTCTCACATTTCATGTTCCAATCACTCGTGTCTTCCTTTGTATTTTCATACTTGAAAGCTCCAACTCAGTTGCCCTTTCTGTTAGTCTACATGTGTTCTGTTGTACAGAGGCTTTTCAGAGACCTGCTATTTTGGAAGTGGATGGCGAATCCTTCTTTCTATTTCAAGGAATAGCTTTAAAAATATTTCTCAATAAAAGTTTTTCTAAAATGTTTTCGCACATTTCAGGATCTTCATTAAGAGAGAAATGACTTGTGCAAATCAGCAAAGCCATTCCTTTAATATAATCTTTTAAAAGTTTTTCATCTAGTCCTTGAAAGAGCCAAGAGGTTAAGTGATTTTTATTTTTTTTTTGGCCTGGTCACCTAAACTTTTCACATCCCTCTACTGATTAGTTGATCATAAACATTAAGTTAGGAAAGCAAAAACAATTCAGAAATATGCAAGAACCAGAAAGGCTGAATTTGCCTCGAGTGAAACAGAGCTTAAAGGAGAAATTCAAAGGCTTTGTCCTGACAGCTTATATATAACCAGAGGAGACTAACAGCTAAAAACTAAACCTGAAGATGCTGAAGTTAAAGCCATTAACTCAGACCACAAGTTATGGTCAAGTTACATTTCTTTTAAAAAAACTTTCTTACCATTAGCTTATTGAAATACATTTCAATCAAACTTCATGATTTAAAACAAACATAAAAGGTAAGAAAAGAAAGAACACTCTTCACTCTTTCAGTTCAAAGCATCTTTTAACACCTGCTTGCTGATAACTTACCTGCAATGTCTGTAGCATCTCTAATAAACAGTAAAACACCTTTGCAAATCATCTAAACATATTGTATCTTAAAGTAAGTAGGAGAAGAAAGTAATTTAAAGAGGAGAGGAGAAATCAAAGGTAATTTTTACTCTTATCTCAAACATTGAACCGTTTACAAGCAATCCTTGACTTACGTTATTCAACTTCCAGTAATTCACATTTTCAGTGTAATCAATTACACACTTACTTGTCGGGCATTAGATTGCTAGTTTTGAGTTTATGGTGCATGAAACTTGGTCTCAATCAGCTTTCTTTTTTTAAATTAAATGGAATATAATTTAAAAATATTAGAAAGCATGAAAAAGATAATGAGATTATGTATTCTTTCACAAGACTGGTTTAAGAAACTGATTTTCTTTATATTCTTTGAAGATAATTCTAAACAAAGTCTTGTTTAAAATAATGGTTAGCTTCAAGTACACTGGCTCCTGAAGAGACTATTTTGATGAGTAAACCAGGCTGCTCCTTGGAGACAAGGACTCTAAAACTGTCTGACCTACTTTGAACATGTTGCAAGGAGGGACCAGTCCTTGGAGAGGGATGTCATGCTTGGGAGGCTGGATGGACAGCACAGAAAGTAAGAGTCTCAATGGCATAGATTCAGTGACTACAGTAATGGGGGCATGTGTGTCAGAGAAGATTGGCACAGAATAGAGCAGGGTTGTTGGGGCTGTTGTACATAGGGTCACTATGTGTCACAGGAGACTTGACGGCACGTAACAACAAAACAACTAATATACATTTGGGTATGAGCTTTGATATGCTTTGTTTGGTTTGGTGAATTTCAATACATTCCTATCACAGATTCCATCTGTTAAATCACTGATAAAAAAAATGAAGGTGAACACTCTTTATTGGTTAAGAATGCTAATAGCTCTTAAAAATACAAAGGTGGGGCTGGAAAAACTAAGACTCGATTTTGATAATTTGGAATAGGTAGAGCTCTCTTTGAATTAAACCACTATTCAGATGAAAACTTTAAACCAATCTGACAAGAAAGCATACAAGCACTCAAAAGAGAAAAGCCACATGGCACATCACATTTTCAAAGGCACTCTTTAACAAGGCCATCAGTTAATGAATGCTCAAGCATGCCCGAGTTACAGAACTTACCCAAGGTACAAGGTACATAAGGGAGCAACAACAGATGACCTTAGGATCATTTCCAAAAGTATCAGTGTGTTAGTTAAGCTTACTTAAGAAAAGTGTATCAAAACTCTGCCCACAAAAGATCTTCTGAATTCTCTGGCTCTAAAAATATCCCTTTATTTTCTAAAAAGATCATGATAATGGAGTAGAGGGGGGGAAAAACGGTTTAAAAGTCTACATTATAACAATTTAATTTTATGTTATGTCACTATGTTTCATCTATTTTTGTAAAATTTATATTGTATAGAAATTGTTTTAAAAGCCCAAAATATGGTTTAAAGATATAAATCCAAGTCCTTGATCAAATCTAATCTACTAACACAATTTTGAAATATTTATTAAAATTAAATGTCCTAGAACTCCTTTTCCAAAAACAGAAGCAATAATAAGTTCAAGGAATGCTTGTATGTTCACAAATCATTTTGAAAAGAAATTAAGATGAAATGATAAAAGGAAAAAATTTAGAGTAATAAAGATGTTTAAACAATATACCTCTTCCTCCTCCCCCTGGTAGCAAGGGTGAAAGTCTGAGTGGACCCTCCAACAATGTTGGAGGAGAGAGAAAAGCTCTCGTTTCAGATGAAGGCCGGCCCAATGGTGAGGGACCATATGGGGAATGTTCTGGAATAATTAAAACAGCATATTTAAATTCATAGTTTCCATTAGCTACACTGTACTTAGAATTCCATTTCATTACCACTAGACAATCCTATTGCCATTTTAAACATTAACTTGCCCTGAACATTAACTATGCCTTACATTTGCTAAAATGGGCTGGATGGAGTTAAGAATAGAATCCTCTATTTTTAAGAGTTTGACTACCAAATGAACACTTTAGTCAATAAAACAGATCCTCTTGGTAACTATCACTTTAAATAACTATACTATATTAGGCAATAGGATATTAATGATATTTTGGAGTTACACAAGGATTTGGGGGTATCAGATTTGTTTTGTTTTGTGTTTAATGGAAGATTGCTTCCAGATAAATGCAGCTGGTAATGACTGAAGGGCTCAGCTGAAATCTGGGCCAGACAGGTTATGTTGGGTCATGACTTAGAGAAGTAAAGCCCAGATTTTGTAAAGCATAAAAATGCACAGAATATGTTCAAGTATTTTACTTTTGTTTCATTAACAATGATAAATTAACTTACATATACTAATTCATCAGGTATATAACTTTATCCGTAATTCATATAATCAAGAGTCTTAACATTTCACAAACTTCACTCATTCCAAAATAATTGTTTCCAAAGAACAATTTTTATTAAAATATAACCAGTGTTTTCATCATAAATACCTCCAAAATAACACTTTTTACACATGTTAAGTTTTATTTAGTGCAGCTTACTATTTTTTTTTACGCAAATAATACATACCTCTGTATTTGTTTGCCCACTATTTTTATCCCTGAAGTTGGAGAACAGGGATTGCTGTAAACATGTTAGACTAAATTTCTTCTTTTTAACAAGTTTTAAAAACATTGGCACAGTGGCACTTAGGGATAGGAGCAGTAGGCTAACCAACACAAAAGGTCTATTATTTGTATAAAACAGTAATTTATAATATTCAAACAGTTATAATAAAAGATCAAAACATCATTATCTCCTTGAGACTTGTATGACGTTCAGATAATTCCCTTTTGTTTAATATCCTCTACTCCAAATTTTGTTAAATTTTAAATTCATAGTATCAGATACTTCTTAACTACAGAAATAAATTTTCATTTTAAAGAAATTAGACTCTCAAAGTTTTTATCTCTTTTAAAGATTATGAAAATGGGATAGAAATGATAGGTTCCTTTGTACTATCTCAGAAGTTTAACTCCAACTCAACTAATTATTTTGTAAAATGTATACTATTTTAATAATTCTAAAATTGAAAATGCTTGTGAGCAAGGACTAGAGAGAACGATTAAATATCTTTCGCAGAACTGGTCCTCTTTAGAGGTAATTAAAGCACTCAAATGTAAACCAATGTTTTCCTGCTTTTTAAAAATAATACTCCTACATTGACTTTTTAAATTCTCAACTTTCCATTAAAATTCAAGCGAATTCCATATAGTTAATAAATAAAGAGCCACAACGTTATTCCTTTTAACATTCTCTGACTAGTTCATTCGTCCAACAGTCAGTGCACTTTGCCTTTCACGGTAGTAAATATAAACCATTTTACCAATCCAATTGAGAAAAGGAGGCACTAAACTATTCTATTAATACTAGGGAAACATCACAGAGCCCTGGGAATTTGAGGGAGAGCTCAGACTAGAACCCTGGCTCCAAAATCTAAAATGTTTATAAATGATAATGTTAACTTACAGTAAGATAAACTACATGTACAATACATAAAGGTAACTTAAAGGTTGGAGTTTGGTGCTTTGCTGGTTTTTTAACAAAACAAAACAAAAAGGACTACCTCTGCCAAATGTTGTATTTGGAACATCAACTGCATAAGGATCTTTCTCTAAAAGTTCACATTTAAACTCAGTTTCAGTTAATCTGCAAATAAAGAACAAACATCTCTAAGTTACTTATCCAAGAGAAGGCACTCACATTTCAAGAAAAATGCCACTACCAAGTACAGGTTACTCTTCACTATTTCATTATGGGCAAAAATGAAATAGACTCTAAAATTATTTTAAAACATCTCTCTTTATAGTCTACCATTTTTAATCTGAGGTTCCAGAATAAATGCCTAATGAGCAATGTTTAGTTTAGGTTTTGATCCTCTTTTCTTTCTCCTTCCAAAATCAGACAGCGATAAATACACTCTAACATAGGATTCAAATTTTAGAAGTGAAGGGATCCCTAAGCGAATCAATTCAAGCCTCTTAATTTACAACAATGTATACTGAAGCTGCGTGTTTAAAAAAATTTATTCAAAGTGAACCTACCATGATGAACAGAGGGTTAATCTCATATAAAAACATTCACTCTTCACTATTTTTCTAAGTATTTTTATTGTTCTATTATATAAGGTTCTAAGTACACTTTTATTATATTCTAATGTTCTACATCTGACATACTTTGGGCATGATGCAAGGAGGGACTGGTCCTTGGAGGGGGACATCATGTTTGGGAGGGTGGAGGGACGGTGCAGGAAAGGAAGACCCTCGATGAGATGGATCAATTCTGTGACTGGAGTGGTGGGAATGAGTGTGTTTGAGACAGTTGGCACAGAATAGAACGGCGTTTAGGGCTCTCGTACCTAGGGTCGCTATGAGCTGCAAGCGACTCGATGGCACATCATAATAACAACAACAACAACAACGTTCTAAGTGCCATCTTTGTGCCCTAAGTCAAATATTTCAAACAGAAAAAAATCTTATTCTGAGTACAAAATTAACTCAAGCTGGACAGCTGACTGAAAGGCTGCATGTCTCCAGCAATTCTAAGCCACGCCCGGTTCCTGGGGAGAAAGATGGGCAATCTCTTCCCTTAAGATCTGCAGCCTCAGCAGCCTGATGGAGGGTTACTCAAAGTCAGAACCACCTGACAGCAGTCAGTTTTTCTGTTTAAATATAAAACTAACAGGTCACAACTAGATAAACTGGATTCACTGCAAGTTGTGGAGTTTTTAAAAATTTACTCTTAACAAAATTGCAAAGAATCAAAGTAATAACTAGTATTACCGTTTTCTAAAGTGTTTCCACTAAGATACTTACTTTTGTCTGTTGTAAGCATTTTCTTTCTTTAAATCACTGAGGTTTCTTTCGACATTCCGGGCTTTCAACTTAGAGAAAGCAAAACAAAAATTACATTTAGACAAACTTGAAATGAAAGGGGAAAAGTATACACATATCCTAAGGTTTGAAGACAAATATCACAATCACATAAGAAAGTACTAATTTCAGTAAATTCAATGTAGAAAAAAATTAAGTGAATTGTTTTTTGAAGTAATGGAAGAGAGCTCTGGTGGCATGTATCTAGAATTTTGTGCTGCTAGCCAATAGGGAATGAGTTTCATGTAACCAGAAAATAAGAAATTAAGAACAGTCAGGAGAGAGGTCAATCATGTACCTGACAATCACAGCTGTCATCTAGATGTGAAACCAGGAATTATCATTATTATCTAATAATAAATTTTTTAAATATCCAATGAAAATGACAAGAGCAAAGTTAGGAGTACCCAGGCTCTGGACTTATTACTGCAGAGGAGGTAGTGATTCACTGCTGACCCCTAGTGGGATTCCTTCACAGAGAAGGAGACCACCCATCTTTCTCCCAAGTTGTCGTGAGAGTGGACTCTGAACTGTGAGAAAGCATACCCTTTGCGTAACTAGCACAACTTTCTGTTAACTATGCCACTAGAGCTTTCAGACTCAAGTTTAGAGTGACTAAAATGAAGACTCAGGATCATTATGGATGGCAACACACCTATGGAACTGGAACAAGGTAGCCATCTCTGGAGTGAAACTATTTTATTTCTGTGAAACCATAAAGGTCTAAAATAGTTTCACCAGGTGATGGTACAAGTCATTTTTATAATTATTATATACACAATATAATATGATCAATACATATTACATATTTTATAAGTACACAGCACTAATCCTAAAAATCTTTCACATTTATATTCTTATACATTTCTAGTAATTATTTTGTCTCATTCTAGGACAAAGAAAACAAAGCTTAATTTTGTGATCAAAGTGGAGAACAGAAAACAATCCCAAATACTTGTGGTTAAACTTGTAAGGACTAATGAATGTTTCTGAGTCATTCTGTGGCTTCTCCAGTTTGTGAAACATCAGATTTCACTAGCATATACAATCCACTAGGGCAAACATGCCTATCATATGAAGGTAAATAAGTCCCAAACCGTAGTTTTTAGAAGTAATAAAAATTATACCATCAAAATTATAGCATTGTTGTAGTTCACTCATCTACATCATTTTAAAAAATATCGTATGGCCTAACACAGTGATTGTCTGAATACCACATCACCTTCCCCAGAAAGAACACCAAAGAGAACAATTCATTGCCATTGAGTCAGAACTGACTCACAGCTGACCCTCCAACAGGTTTTCAGAGGCTTTAAATCATATGGGAGGGGAGTGCCCATCTTTCTCCTGTGGAGTATAATTCATAGAAAATATCATTTCACTATTTGTAGAATTGAAAATGGACTTTAAAAAAATACTTCCTCACTTAATATAAATGAGCAATTTATTTTCTGAAAAGGAAAAGTATAATTTAAGAAGTCTAAGAGTTTAAGATGCTCTGCCGAGGAAGGGGGGACAATCTCCTCCTGTACCAGTGAGATCTGATTTGACGGTACACACACATTTAAAAAAAAAAAAGAAGAAGTCTAAGAGTTTAACACTTACCCAATTATCATGTGCTTTCTTTTCATAAGATGTAATCTGAAAAAGAAAGTCATTAAGATACTACTGAAAACTGTTTTTCTTAAATTAAAAAGCACAGTCACATGTACCACTATTATTTAGACCATAATCCATTAAAAAAACCACTCTTTCCAGCTCTATGAAGTTCAGTAATCAATATTTCAAAAGCAGATTTTCCTGTATATAAAATACAATCTGCTTTATGCAGATGACACAACCCTGTTTGCTGAAACTCATGAGGACCTGAAGCACCTGCTGCAGAGGGTCAAGGACTGTATCCTCCAATATGGATTGAGGCTCAATGTCAAGAAGACAAAGATTCTCACCACTGGACCAATTGGCAGCATCAGGATGGATGGTGAAGAGATTGAGATTGTTAACAACTTTAGTCGGCTTGGCTCCACGGTCAACACTCTTGGCACCAGTAGCCAGGAAATAAAAAAATGTATTGTGATAGGGACCTCTCCAGGGTACTGAAGAGCAATGGTGTCTCTCTGGAGACTAAGGTGTGCCTGATACAGGCCATGGTCTTTGCTATCAATTATCATGCATCAGAGAGTTGGACAATGACAAGGAAGGATAGAATAAGAATTGATGCCTTTGAGCTGTGGTGCTGGAGAAAAGTACTGAATACACCATGGACTGCCAAAAAAACAGATTCATCCTAGAGAGGGTTAAACCAGGCCGCTCCTTGGAGGCAAGGATTCTGGGGCTTCATCTGACATACTTTGGACATGCTGTAAGGAGGAACTGGTCCTTGGAGAGGGACATGATGCTTGGGAGGGTGGAGGGACGGCGCAGGAGGGGAAGACCCTCTATGAGGTGGACTGATTTGGTGACTGGGGTAATCGGGATGGGTGTGTCAGAGGCAGTGCAAATGGCACAGGATAGTGCAGGGTTTAGGGCTGTTGTACATAGGGTCGCTACAAGTCGCAAGTGACTCAACAGCACATAACAACAACAACAACAATATATGGAATATCAAGGGCAGCAGACGTTACCAATTAAGATAAGTTCAGCCTGACTAAATATGAATGAGACCCCAGTGTTACTATTTATTTATTTATTGATGTGATGCTCCCAAAGAAACAGACGTGGCAACTCTGAATAAAATCTCTTATGTTGAACCTTTGGCTCTCTGGAAACATTACACAGTCACATGCAATACCTCAAGGGTCAAGTAGTCAAGGATCTCTACTGCTGCATTAAAATAAAAATATCTATTAAAATGAATTCCATTTTTTAAATGTTACATACACACCTGTGCTTGGTAAGATAGGACAGTTCTCTCCAATTCTTCTTCAAGATCTTTGACCCGTTTTCTATGATAAAATAATTATTCATCTATTAACACACTAGGATATGATACCACACACGTTCACTATTAAGAATATTAGTAAGACCTAGAAAAACAGACAAGTAAAACGTGTAGAAGAACCTAAGGGGGGGCATAATCACAGGGTCGCACAATAGGGTTGGTTCAGGAAATGGGGAAAATTCAGTGTGAAAAACAATATATCCAGAATTTGTGAGTAAACCAGAATAAAAGTTTTAAAAGAATTAATTAGAGACACGCTCTGTTTCTGTGAAAAATAACTCCAAAACTAAAGTAATAAATACCCTTAACAGAAGTTAACATCTACTTTTTTTACCTTAAGTAATTTTGACATTAGGCATTAAGAATACCAACACATGGTTTTACCAACTTCAAAGATCGTGTAAGGATTGTTATGTAAGTTTGCTTTTTTCAAAAAGCATGTGGGAAGATTTATTCAGATGTCGACAAACATAGTGGGACTCTAGGAAATTAATGAACTTTGGAAAGCAAAATGTTTACTACTTTTTCTAAGATTAACCAGGTTAATTTCGCCTTTTGGATAAAACTAAAAAGTGGCCTCGTAGGCCAGGAGTCATACTGTTAGCCCAGAGGTGGAGTCTGTCTGCTAGTTCAGCAGCTCATCTCCCATACAAGTTCTAGCCTCTGAAAACCTGCTGGAGTGTCAGCTATGAGTGGATTCTGACTCAATAGCAATGGTAGAGTTATACTCTTCCTAAAAGGAAATGTAGTAATAACAAGTTCAATTATTTCCCATTTCCTTGCTAGATTTTCCATTCTTTCCTTGGATCTAGTGAAGATAAAGCTATGGTAAAAACTGGACTAACCAGTCTTATGAAAAGTGCATTAGAATGTTAATTCTAGCTCACTCTTATTTTTGTGTCAGACTTCTTGAATTCAGTGTTATTGTATATATTACTATCTGAACCAAAAAGAATGTACCTTGAAATTACCAACTTATTCATAATTTTCTTGATATAAACGTAACACAGACATGTTCATATTTACGATCAACTAGTAGATGAGATTTAAAATCATACAAACTGAACTGAAAGTAAGACATTTTTCCTTTCCACATTACATAACAGCAAGACAGTTGAATGAAAAATAAGGATATATAAATACATTTCAGTTTGTAATTTTTCTAGTATTGTTTGGGGATATTGTCCCACCCCTAAAAGAAGGGAAAAAAATGTATTGGATACCTATAGATTTCCAATTCTTCAGAAGCAAAACTGAGCTTTTCATCTGCTTTGCAAAGTTTTTCCTCTTTTTCTAACCGGCAATTTTCTTCTACAGTTAATTTCCTTAAAGCAAAAAGTTATTTTAGTTCTTCTAAAATATGTCATAAAATATTTAGTTACATATTTTAAATTATAACGGTTATTATTCTATTTAGGCTATTTATATAGTGCCACTGAAGAAATCACATGCAAAGAAAAAATACCTACATAAATATTCCTGACATGGAGTTTAAGATTAAAAGCAATTAATATAGTAATTTACTGTTAAGAATTTATCATAAAAATAAAATAATAAAAAGGTATTAAAAGTATTAAAACTGCTTACAAGCATTTACATTTAGTCAACAGGACTAAATGAGTTTCAGTCATTTTTAAACTGACTGAAAAATCAGTAATGAAACCTTCAGGCCTGAACATAAAAACAAGCAAACAAACAAACAAAAAAACCCTACAACAGCAACAACAAAAAAAACCCCAACCCACACAAAATTTAATGTAGTAAACAGTCCTATTTTCTAGAACTTTTAATAATAGTTCTACAATCATTAATGTGCCAGAACTCTCCTTGGGCAATTACATACATTATCTCAGGTATCACAACAGTCATACAGAAGAGTTGTTCTATTAATATTCCCAGAAAGAAAAATAAAGCACAGAGAGAATAAGAGCAGAAAATGACCACTGTTATTGTTAACAACTTCAGTTTGCTTGGCTCCACAATCAGTACTGTTGGTACCAGCAGCCAGGAACTTCAAAGATGTATTGCACTGTAAAGTCTGCTATCAGAGATCTCTCCAAAGTACTGAAGAGCAACGGTATCACTCTAGAAACTAAGGTGCACTGATTCTGTCCATGTTCTTTGCAATTACTTACTATGCATCAGAAAGCTGGACAACGACTAGGGATGATAGAAGGAGAATTAATGACTTTAAGCTGTGGTGCTGGAGAAGAGTACTGAATGTACTGTGGACTGCTAGCAGAACAAACAGGTTCATCCTGAGAGGGTGAGACCAGTCTGCTCCTTGGAAGCAATGATTCTGAAGCTACATGTGACATACTTTAGACATGTTGCAAAGAGGGACCAGTCCTTGGAGAGGGACGTCATGCTTGGGAGGCTGGATGGACAGCGCAAGGGAGGAAGACCCTCGATGAGATGAATTGATTCAGTGACTGGAATAATGGGGGTAGGTATGTCCGAGACAATAAGATTATCACAGGATAGAGCAGGGTATATAGGGCTGTTGTACATAGGGTCACTATGACTCACAAGCAATTCGATGGCACATAACAATAACAACAAGAGCTACCAGATAGTTGTTATACTATATTGTCTACATTGTTTTTCATACAGTCATCATTAGTAACCCCTATGATGCAAAAATGGTTATTGAAAGCATTGAATTCTAAATAGAGATGCCATCTCCCATCTTCTATAAATTTTGAGAAGGAGCATAATAAAGTACTGAAAAAAATTCTACAGAGCAGCAGCAAATGCTTTTTATTGTACAAATTACATTTAACTACTGCTTGAAAAGCATTCTCCATGTCACTCACTTTACTGGTGGTATAAGTAACAAGTTATTTTCTCAAGAAAAGTACAAAACTACAGTGGATTTTGGGATAGAAAGGAGAGGTATGTTTAAAGACTACAGATTAAAGATGACAAGAAATTCTTTGACACCCCGTATGACTGAAATGACACTGTGAAAAAAAACAGAATGATCTGAGACTAAACTCACATTTCACTTGCCATAGCTAAAGTGGCACACCAAGCTTCTAACTCCTATCATTTCATTACTCTCCTATATTAAGTGTGGAAAAATACTATTAATACACTATATTTCAGTGATGAAAAACACCACCAGTTCAGCCATCCAGAAAATAGATCTAAATCATATTGTACAAAAGAGAAAGAATTTCAATTAAATATTTTACTGGAACTATCAACTCTGCATGCTGAACAAATAATTTGAAAGCTGGATATGTGAAGAGTGCAGTATGAGACTTGGAGAAAAATTCATTAACAGCCTGCAATATGCAGAGGATACAACTTGTTTGTTGAAAGCAATGAAACATTTATGAATGAAGATCAAAAATCAAAGACCTGAGGTACACGCACACAAAAATAATAATAAT